AAAATTTACTTAAAAAATAAGTATGAATTCAAATTTATTTCGTTCTGTTATTCTTAAATTCATAATTTTTTTTCTGATATTTTTTTAACTTTATTTTGATCGGAATGTCATCAACTTAAGGATGACTAATACATTGTTAGCTTGAGTGATGTTTCGATGTCATGGTTTCAATTTCTTTTTATTTACAAATGTTAAAGAATATTTTTCTAGACTAAAGTCATTTGTATTTATTTTTCGGTTGACATCATTGATGTTATTTTATTGTTGATATTATATCAAAGTATTTTTCCATCAATGTTAGTCAATGTTTTATTTGTCAATGTTAGTAGTGTATTTGGACTCATTTCAGATATATTTTTTCAACTTATAATAATTGAGGTTATTTTTTCAACTTATATTAATTGAGGTTATTATATTTTTTGTTTTCTTCAAATAAACCAATTTGTTAATAGTATGTTACCATTTTTTTTCTTCAACTTTTATTTGAGAAAATATTTGGCCAACATTAACTAAGATTTTTTTTTTGTCAATATCAATTGGAGGAATTTTTCAGCTACATCAACAACTACAAAAAAGAAAATCCTAACCAAGTACGCTATAAAAACAAATTCAATCGATGTCAGTATAAATAATTATGGTCAACATCAACTTAAAACAATACAATAATTGAAAAAAAAATAATTATGAATGTTAATTAAAAAAATCTTTGTGAAATATTCGATATTGAAAAATAACATCCACAAATATTGAAAGATTATCAACATTTAAAAATATTTTTTTTTATAAATTTAGGAATTAAAGTTGTTTAATTATATATATACCTATAGACCTAAATTTGAGTTTTAGTTTGATATATTTTTTTTAAGTTAAGAAGTATGCATATATATACCGGTATATACATATAAAGTTTCTAGATATTGTTTAAATGGATACTGAAGTAAAAGATAAATTAATTAAAGCCTGAGAAGAGATAGCTGGTAACTGTTGTTAAATTTACATAAATAAATGTTACTTTCATACATGAACTTTTATATTTATTTGAATTTTTTTTTAATTTATTTTTTCTAAATATACAAAAGTTTATTTTTTTGATCATTTTATTTTTATAACGTGTATGAAATTAAATGTGAGAGTCTAGCATTATTTTTAAATTTATGTGGATCTAGACGTGTTTTGATATCCCTGCTTACAGAGGTGTTACAGTGTAAATGGGAGAATTTATAGGGTGGAATAGCTGAAGAAAAGCCTAAAATCATGCAAAAGAAAGAAGAAAGAAAAAAGAAGATGATTTTTTAGAGAAGGTTAAAAATCTGCAGATTTATCCCTTACAGGTTTGTACAATATTTATTTGTTCGGAAGAGTGAGAATGTGCGAAGCCCACCAGAGAGTAGAAATATTATTTACCTTTTGTACAGCAAAAGAAGGAAGAAGAAGCAATGGTACAAAGATAAAATATAGTAGTAGTGTGGGTTTATGTTCATTTTCTCTTCCCCATCGACCCCACTCTCATCTACCAATATACTCACCAACACACTTTCTTATTACGTCCCAATAAACTATATATATGTTTTTTATCTTCAAAAAAATATGCTCTTATTATCTTTTATCAGGAAAACAACTTAAAACAGCATCGTAATAATCTATCAGGGCGTTAAAAACATATATCATAGCATGCAAGCATGCACACATATCATACATGCTGTATACATATAACCTATGTTATTGTGTGTGATGAAAGATGAAAGATGAAAGATGAAAGGGAAAAAAGTGGCAATACGGAAAAAAAGGTGGGCATGGAAACAGCTTTCACTAATGCAGATATATGATGGCAATACCAACTTGCACCAAATCCTTGTAAGTGGAAATCTTGTATGCAGGTTTCGTTAATTTAACCCTTTTAAAGTTCTGCACTTTATTCTCAAGTCCCATTGCACACACATATATATATATATATATATATTACTGTAGAAAGTAGGAAACAATACACGTTTTTGACTAGGAAATTAGTGGTCTGTTAAGTTTTGATTTGCAGAAGGGTGCATCTGATAAGATAGTGCACGGTTGCAAATAGTCAAAATAAGGGGAATTGATTACCCTCTGAGGCCACACTTTTTCAAAAGCTTTACCATTTTTGTACGCCTTTCCGAGGAATATGTATAATATCAATAACGAATAGGAATAAAGGTTTATGGTTGGATGGAAAACACAGAAGATATATAAAAAGTTGCAGAATGTGAGGTAAAATAAAAGAAAGGGCTTTGGAAAGAGGTGGCATATATCCACACAATCTGTGTTGGAAACTAAAAATGTTGGATAGCCATGATGAAATGTTGGAAATGTTGATGCTGTACCACCCATTATAAAGACAATTCTTTGCCACAAGTGTATAAGTATGAAGTAATACTAGGATAGATAGATATATAGATAGGGATGGAGATATTGTTTATATATATAAACAAGTTGAAAAGTAGAAGATAAGGTGGTCTGAAGCACTGGGTCGGGAGGAAAAGAAGGCCAACACGACAAACATGGCCTTGGCGTTCCACTCTAAACTGCAAAATATGAGATGGGCCCTGTACCATATCTCTTCTCTTACAACACAAGCACTCATAGTTGTGAATGAATGAAGAAAATGCAGCATGTAGAAAAATAAGAAAAAGGTTGTTTTTTTTTTTCTTTATTGAATTTGAATGTTGTGTGTTGTGTTGATTGTAGTGGTCTGGTTTGGTTAGAGAAAAACAAATGAGGTGGTGGGGAAGTGGCAATGCAGAGGCACTGTTCCAATATTTTTGTCATCTGAGAAGTAGACAGAGGCAATAATAGCTGGATTTTGTTTCTGCAGTTCCAAACAGGGCCCCTCCAATACCCTTCTCCAGTAGATACTTCTCTCCTACCAATTATTGTTATCATTCTTTTACTGTTTTCTCTCAGTAGATACCTCTCTCCATTTGCGTGTGCCCTTCTTGTCTCTGTCTCCTTGTCTTCAACCTCATTCTTGCTTTTTTTTTATCGTACACTTGAGACCATTAACCATGTAAAATAAAACACACACACACACACTCACTCACCCCAAACCATTACCTAACCTGTTTTCATTATAGCTCTCACCCCCACCAGCCACTCTGCCCTTCTGCACTTCTGCTTCTTTGCCACTCAAAAACTTCATTAATCCTTTATTAAATCAAATCCATCACTTCCTCCATTCTCAATCTCTGCTGCTTTGACTAAGGTATTTCCATTTCTTATTTTTATACTCTTCTCAACCTTAGAATTCTCTATTAGATTCTGATAAAGAAGCTTTTGAATGTTTTACTCTCAAAACTCGCTTTTAAAGGAGGAACTATTTCACATATCTTTTGTTTCAACGTAGTACTTCTGGAAGAGTTTCAAATTGGAAAAATTTGAAAGTCTTAAAATTTTTTTTCTCAGTTCATCAGGATACATAAATTTATATTGGAATTACAACAACACTTGTGTAAACTTAAACCAGACAACATGAGACTTCATTTACATCCCTGACGACAATATTAAATAAATCTCCAATACAAATTTCATTAAGGAGTATGCAGCATCAAAAAGGAAGTTACTAATACTCCATGGAAGCAAAAACAGAAAACATAATGAATTACAAATCTGTTAGTAGATTTTAAAAATAACAATAATTTTGAAACAGAAAGAAAATGCTATAGCCATGGATAGAGAGAGTGTTAAAAGGAGTTAAATATGATTTTCCACTTACCAATATAAACTGAGAAAAAGTAAAAAGTAAGCTGGTTTAAGTAAATAATGAATCTTGTTTGAAAAATGTAAAACTGAGAAAAAGTAAAAAGTAAGCTGGTTTAAGTTTATGTTTATGCATCAAAGATTTGAAGTTGTTAAAAACGTATATACATTAAAAAAGTTGAACGGATGATTTGAATTTGTTATTTGAATTTTGTTTTTGTTGTCTTTTCGCGTCATTGTCTGTGTCTATTTGTTTCCTTGCTCATCCTTTCTTTATTTGTCGTACAGACACTATGGAAAAGAGCAATTAAGTAAGAAGCATATATTTCTACGCATTTTTCATTGCCACTGTCACAACTCGTCTACCACTAATCATTCTGCCATATGTGCATCGTGCATTGAAAAACATTACAGAAACATATCATTTCGTAAATGTAATGTTTCTTGCATACAGACATGTGTCATTCAATCATATACAGTGGTCCTAATAAAAGTTAACGAGAGGGGAGAGCAAATTGTTCAACACACACAACACGTTAGGGTGTGTGAGGAGAAGAAGCAGCGCAAACTTAAATAATAATAGTAATGATAATACACACACTCATGGGGCCAATTTTCTCTCTGTGCATCACACGCACATTACGGAATTGTACGACAACCATTTACGAGAATGTACAATTAGAGCTCCAGTTTTAGATACTCAACACCAACCCTAATGAATAACCATCATTATCATACAGTCATTGAGCGACGTGAGGATGAAAGCTATTTCCTTCACGCCCCAAATACCCTTTTCTTTCAAATAATTATTATTATTGTTATCTTTTAGAAGGAACAGTGAGAAACGAAACCGATCGAGTTTAAATCACGCTTTAGGCTTGGTTTTGATTGTCTTAGAGGTATTTCTTTTTTCCATTTCTAGACAGTCAAGAGTTTTTCCCTTTGCGGAAGAACAGCACGAACGTTACTCAGAAACCCCTTTTTGTTCTCCTTCAATAAAAACCGACATCTGAACCCAATGCTTTTCTCTTTCTCCCAAAGGTTCTGAGAAAAAAATAATAATAAAAGACTCCTTCTTTCTTTTATACACACTATATTTTTCCTTTCCTCAGGTAAACCCGTGTGTAAAGTTCATATCATTAAAATCTTAATCCACTAAAATATTAAAAAGAAGGTTACTTTACGTAATAAAATCGAGTTTATAGGGGTTTAATTTTATCATTACTATCGCTACCACCTGAAAAAGAGTGGATAATGAATGCGAGAGAAACAGGGGGAGAAGATAAATATTAAATTTTTTTGTCCTCAGTACAAGTTGTACAATTCAATCTGGTGTGGATTCTGGCGAGGAATGATGAAATGGTTAATTAAATAATGGGTGAATTAATTTACGGTGTGTATAATGAGAGGGTCTGTTTCAAGAGAGGGTGTGTGGGGAAGGTGATCATGGGTGACAAGAGGCTCTGGAAGAGAAACATGGTTTGTGGTTGTTGGCGTGAGAGTGGTGGGTAACTTGGGAGAAGAAGAATTAGCAGTGGTAAGGTCATTGGCTCTTTGCACTTGAGCGTTCCAGTCAGTGGTGCAGAGAACGAATATCATGAGAGAAGCGCAAGAGGCTTGAGCCGCAAGCAACCCAAGCCAGAGCCCAGGAAAACCCATTTTCACGACGAACCCAAGGAGAACAGCGACGGGCATGCCCACCAAATAAAACGAGGCCAAGTTGATGTTGGCTCCGACGGTGGGCCTGGCGCTGCCGCGGAGGACGCCACAGCCCGTGGTCTGCGGGCAGTTGCCGAGCTCGCAGAGGCCGACGATGGGGAGCACGGAGGCGGTGAGGTCAAGAATTTCGGTGTCAGAAGTGAAGAATCTGCCCCATTGATGTCGCATGAGGGTGGTGAATGCAATGGCGGCGAGGCCGAGCGCGACGGCACAGGCGAGTGAGACTATCATGGAAATGCGGGCCCTGGCGGGACGGTTGGCGCCGAGCTCGTTGCCGACGCGGGTGGAGACGCCGAGGCTGAGGGAGGAGGGGAAGACGTAGACGAGGGAGGTGGTTTGGATGAGGATGCCCATGGAAGCAATGGTGGCTTTGGGGTTGAAGAGAAGCCCGCAGAGGATTATCATGAGTTCGTACCACCACCATTCGAGGCAGACAGAGACGCAGGTGGGAACCGCAAGTGCAAGTAGGGAGGACCAGCCGCGGAGGCAGTCGGAGCTGGGTGGGACCCACGAGTCTTTGTAGACGCCGGAGAAGTAGACGAAGGAGGAGAGGAAGAGGAAGAGGTTGAGGTTGGTCCATACCATGGCTATGGCGACGCCGGAGACTCCCATTTTGAAGTGAACGACTAGGAGGAAGTTGAGGGGGAGGTGGAGGAGGAGGGAGAGGGCGGAGCAGTAGGTTAGGGGCAATGTGATGCTTTGGGTACGGAGGTAGATGCGGAGAGAGTGGAGGAGGGAGAGGAGGAAGAGGTCTGGGATGGAGAAGAGGATGAAGGTCTGTGCGGTGGAGGATATCTGGTGGTCCTGGCCGCACCATAAGAGTATGGACTTCATGTTGAGCCAGGTGAGGGAGATGGGGATGGAGGTGGAGAGGAGGAGGAGGACGGTTCTCTGGAGGGTCAAGCCAAGCGTTTTCCATTGTTTTGCGCCGTAGGCTTGGCCGCAAATGGGTTCCATTCCCATGGCAAGACCTGAGATGACGGAGTAGCCGGTGATGTTCGCGAAGCCGATCGACAGAGAGCCTCCGGCCAGCTCCATCTCCCCAAGGTATCCTAGGAACAGCATTGAGATCATGGCTCTTGAATATAAGAGCAACCCGGTCACTGCTGTTGGGACTGATATATTCCCCAGTGCCTTCATTTCTGCCATCACCTGCACCAATGCACTCCAAAATTATAAAGTACCATGGACAAAAAATACGACAAAAACACGTTAATATCATAATCTCCCATTATTTGTTTTTCATCGTGTGATGTGACCATGAAGATGGTATCTTCCGCAACTTCATTTAAATTACATTCACAAAAAATCATAGCTACAAGGATTTATTCCCCTTTTATTAATATCTTCTCTCTCTCTCTCTCTGTGTCTCGTTACCTCGTTGGGAGTTGGCCACCTGTGAAGTTCATCCTGAAGTTGACGATGAAGCGGAGGGTGATTTTTGAGTTTGGGATCGGGAGTTATGAGGTGGGCTTTTGTGGGACACAGAAATGGGGATGAAGAGGATGGTTTGGGATTACACATGATGGATATATTATGTATGTAACAAAGGGTAGCTTGAATACAGAAGAACAAGGTTGGTGGTGTCTGCTACTAGTCTCTTGGCTTGGGCTTAGTGATCGTGCAGTGCGTTTGAAGTTGTGTGAGGGAAGAATTAGAGGGTTTTTTGTGTGAGGATGCGAGGGAAAGGGTGAAGGGGAATGTGTTTTTATGAATGAAAAGGTGGCCCTACAAAGGTTACGTGTCATTATAGAGAAATATTGCTGAACTATATACAGTAATGAGTATGAAATTAATTACCAAAAGAAACAACTGTTACCAAAAGAACAGGGTGAAAGAGAGAGAGAGAAGCTTGAACGGAAGAAATGCTTTATGAGGTCCTCAGAGGCAACCGACCTTCTCTTTGTCTAGAAAAAAGAAAATAGAAGAATATGTGATTATAATAATGATAATATATTTAAAAGGAGAAAGATGAAAAACAAATTGGAAGCTAAAGGTGGTGTTATCTTCTGGATGGTGAAACTCAAGAAAAAAGAATGGACAGATTTATTCGCTTTAGTGGTTATTTTAGCCGTCAAATCGATCACACGCTTTGATTTGATAATGATGGCTATTATAGTGGTTTAAACTACCCCAGTTATTAATAATGGATGGATTATGCGTGGATAATTTTTTAAAACACCACGTTGGGTTTTCCATTTCCCTGTATAAGGAACACACAGAATTTTATCCTCAAACTGGAAATGCCAAGTGCAAGTGTTGGGCAACCCAATTCACCAAAGAAAAATTCCCCTACTTGTCAAAGAAACTTATTATTGTTATTATTAATATTCCCTTTTCATTTTGGTATGGGATGTGATGATACTTTTAGAATGGAAAGGGCACAGACGATGCTTATGCATTGGTGTTTGCACTCAAGATAATTTTATTTGATTTGATACTTTTTATAATTCTTTTACCTTTAAAAGGAAGGAAGAAAGAGAAGAGCAAAAAAGTGCAAATAAGCAACCTGAGGAAAAGAAAGAGAGAAAAACCATATAGATATAGAAGAATATAATAAGAAGAGAACAACAGTTTGTACTAATTTTAACTCACTTTTACTACAACATATTTTGTTTGGTTTTGGACAGTGGGTGGTAGTTGCTAATTTGTAGTGCTGGCAAAATGTTTGGCATTGCATGTTGGTTGAGGCAGCGAAGCCATGCATGTCTCAATCTTCTCCAGACCATGTCCTAAATTCCATTCCTAACACCTCCATTGTCTATATATAGACCATCTGAAGCAGCCGAAGGGCGAAACATTCCCTTGACTGCTACCTTATTTAACAGATTAAGCAAGTTTTTTCTTGCATCCAATTTAGGACCCACACGGTTCTATGCCTCTTGTTGTACTCCCACTATTATCACTTGTTGAATGTTTTATCCTTTACCAAGCAGATATGTTCAAATATATCTAGTGGTCGGCTGTCCACTAGTTCATGTTATAAATATTTCTTGGCATCAAACAGTAAAGGAAAATCAAAAGTTATTAAGATTTCTAAGTGAGATACATGGTTACAAATCAAAGTTACGAATCCCGTTGTCAAGTTCATAGGTTGGTTTTCCCGTAGTAGTTCATATTATAAAACTAGTGTGTTCCTACCTGCTATATTATATTGCACTTTTTTTTTTTCACTTCCCCCTTTTATAAAGGTTATCTTCATGGATATGTGTATCTATATCCATTTACATATGCAAAAAAATATGTGTGGATTATGGAGGTAGGTGTTGGTGTCATAGAGGGACCACCAGTGGTGTTAATGGGGAATGATGGTAGCTGGCCGTATGGAGAAGAGACAGATGGGAGATAGGAGACACTAGAGAGAATTACGTGCTCAAATTACAACCATTTAATCTTATATCAGAAGATGAGGGAATTAAGGTGAGTCTGTCTGTGAATATGAGAGCATGGCGTTTTATATGAGGAAACAGAAACTTCTGTATCATCATTAGCCCAAACACAGCAGGTAAACTCTTTCTTCTTTTTCTTTTTTTCTTTTTACCTTGCCGTCTGAGCAACTTCAGCCATCAGTATTTCATTGTATAATAATGATAAAAGAAAATATATTAAAAATCTCCTGTAACTCAAGGCCATCCCATGTCAGATTCCATGTGTCTGTAGCTCACCAAATTGATGTGAAATGAAAGATATGTATCATGCAAGGGAACCAATGCTTTGGAATTAATTTATAAAGCAACAGTGAAGGTTCTGGCAATGGACAATCTGAAAAAACCAGTCTCATCCAAAGAATGAATAAATATGAATGGGAGGAAACCTATCTCGAATTTGGCACACTAAATGGATTGGCAAAGTGCAGCTGCGTAAGCTCTAGATATCTCTCCAACAGCAAAAGATTATATTAAATGGCAGCCACGAGTTCAGGATCACGTCATGATGGCGTGCCAACTTACTCTTATCGATAAAAAAGATATCATAAAACAAGTTGCTATATTGGAGATCAGCCACAACTTCTTTTAACTTAATGAAAAGGAAAATAATGATAAGTGTTTTCACTTTGACATTAACAACGATCATGTTCCTCAAGACGATCGAACCGATTCGCTAATTGTATTCCTCTAACCTTTTCCACAATCATGTAGAGAGATGGGATGTGTTCATGTAGGAACATGTCACCGGGACAAACTATTCTACTGACCCCCCCTCGCCTTTCTCTACCAGTTCACGTAAATTGGTTTAATGAAGAGTACATATAACTATTGCATTCCGTCACTACGCGACATAAATTATCATTTATGGAGACATACACTTGCATGTTCATATGGACGAAATCCAGAAAGCATACCTGCTAGAACTCTGATAAACAGTAGAATACGCATGGCATACAATCTAGTATGGAAATGTGTGCCCAATAATTACCAGCAACGAAAAGAATTAATAATCATGATTTTTGTATATAAAATGAGCATAATAAACTGAAAATATGAAAAATTCATTCAACCAACCCTCTCGGCAATAGCAACCACTCAGTTCCTGTAAATTATAATAACCTGCAAAATTAAATCCAATCTTTACAGAAAGTTTTGCTGGCTGGTTAGACAAATAAATTCCAGCAGCGCAGCTGGCACGTGGTTGGAAGATTTGATCACTAATAGTTAGGACAATGATGACATAAAGGTTGATATTTTAAATGCTCTTTGAGTCTTAGGAACAGACAAATGTACGAAGAATTGAAAGCAAATCAGACTTTCATGAATAGTGAAGTGTATTAAAAACAAGAATTTATTCCATGTTCAAAAGAAGTAAGATAAATTAAATGTACACATTAAATGACCATTATAAATCAAACCCAAAAGAAAAATGGGGCATTAAAACCGTGTCTTAATCAAGGTATCCATCAGCACAATTAACATATTCACTGTTGGCCAAAAAGCACATTTATCTAACTAACACAAACAAATTACACAAAAATCTTAAAATTCCAATACATCATGCTTGAAGCATCACGCACACTCCCCAAAATAAAAGAATTTTTCATATGGAATAATTCTCAAACAGCAGCAACTCATCTTGGTTGTAAAGATGTTGCCCACGAGAAATCTTAGAACCTACAGAAGATGCCCCAACTACTTCCCACCGCATTAGCCTTTAAAAGCAACATCTACACAGGTGGTGATGATCTACAATGAAGAAATTCTCCACTGATTGCAGATAATCTTCTAATCAGTATTTGATGGCAGCTTTTATGATTATATGAGTTGCAAGAGGATGTTTGGAAAAGTAGTGCTATAAGAATTTCTTCTTTTACATTGTTCCTTATACATCAAGAAAAATCACCCTTTCTCACGGCCAGTAGAGGGTCCCTCGTGGTTAACAAAGCAGAACATTCTCACTGTTTAGAACAAGGCCACTCACTCGTCAGAATGACAAAAGAGAGACAAAGAAAGTCAAAAGCTTCCAAAACATCAGAAAATAATAGCACTAGAACTTAGCTCATCGGCCATAAAAAATGATGAATAAAATAAAAACACATCCATGTAATCAATTATTCGTATTACAAAATGATTGGGACGGAGATATCTCAATCAATAGAAGGCTCAATAAAAAGACTACAATCAAACAGAAGTAAAACATAACTATTTACACATTATTGCTACCTGTCCATTTTCCTCATCCCTCTTTGAAAAGAAATCCGTGTCAAATGTAGAAAGAACATGATACCTCATACTTGACTTGTAGACTTTCGACCGCCAGGTCGGGGAATAGCCAAGATACTTATTAATCCACTGAGAAGGGCTGCAACAGCTGCCACGGCAAAGGCCGGAGAGTTTCCTCCACCAAATAGCTGATCCCACGGTCCACTTCCCAGGGACACCACCATCTAATCCAAACATTCATATACATAAACTTAGCAGCTCAAATAGGATCCTTCACCACAAAGTTTTATTTTGCAAGAGATAAATCTCCGTAAACTTACAACTGTAAAATAATTTCATGAATTTTCTTATTTGAAAATAATTCTATAATCTAGGTCTACTGGCATGCTTGAAATCTGTCAATCTGGGAAGAGGGCAAAAGTACAAAGCAAATTTTCATTAAACCTGCATGATTGTACAAATTAGCAGTGCGACTCTGGGTAAATCTCATTGCCTGTCTCAAGCAATACGTAATTCAGAACATGATGGATCAAGGAAAAGTGAATTAATTGAGATGAGTATTTCAAGTACTTTCTTCAGCAGCCTGAATTAGTTTTACAGAGGCAATAATTCAGGCTCATAATGAATGAAAAAAACCAAAGTGGAGCCTGAAGAAATGACATAGACCATAATGTCAGTCACATATAGTGCATTTAATTGATGCATATATCCTATAGTGTAGGCAATTTGAAATTCTCAGCGGATGTTGTGTCCTTCAATCCAAATTTCTTTGAACTAATTTTAAAGGCTTTGTCAGGAGTGAGGCAAAGCTTTATTAAGCTCTTATAAATTTTCTATTCACAAATCTACCTCTCTGTAACAAAATGCTCATAATCTCAGTCGTTACTCGAGAATGTTTTGGTGTGAAACAAATCTCCAAGGACCAACCTTGAGTGCTCAGGTCATGATTTATTTAATGAAATCTTCTCCAGAGATATGCCAAGGAATTGGAGATTATTTCTATTGTTT